CGGTTTCTTTTTTAATCAGACAACGAGTATTTTTAGGTGGGAACTATTTTTACCTTTGACATGTTTCAACTGTTCCTTCAGTCTTCCTCAGAAACGTCGGTGACGTCTGTGGTGACGTGTCTTCACCAGCTGCTGGGTTCCTGGAGACGTGACCCGCCTGGCGGTCTGTCCGGCCTCCTGCGGCCCGGTGGTCTCACCAGGTGGGTCACGCCTCCAGGAACCCACCAGCTGATGAAGACACGTCACCACAGACGTCACCGACGTTTCTGAGGAAGACTGAAGGAACAGTTGAAACATGTCAAAGGGAAAAACAGCTCCCACCTAAAAATACTCGTCTGATAAAAAAGAAACCATAGGGCGGCGCTACAGCTCACCTGGTGGAGCTGGCGTCCCATGTGAAGGGCTACAGTCCGCATGTGGAGGTCGTGAGTTCGAATCCCGCTCATGACCCTTTCACGTCCTCCCTCCATTCTTCTCCCCACTTTCCTGTCTCTCTCTCACTGCTCTATCAAATAAAGGCACAAAGGCCAAGAAAAGAAGAAATCGTATACCTACAGCCAGAGTGGACCAGATGAACCTCATCACGCTTTAATACTCCTTTGTCTTATTTCCAGAAGACCTTTAATAAATCTATGACAGAACCAAACTACAGGATTGTTTTTTGTGGGAAAGCTTCATGTTTCGATGATTACGTCGTAGAAACTCTGACCTTCATGAGGACGGACACTTTAGCTCCCAGCTGTACGTTTGCTGCTGCCTCCATAATTGTTGCATTCATTTGATCTAAATAAAGAGACGCATTTAAGGATAAGACAAATGATTCCTGTTGAACATTATTGTTGATTGAATGCAGAGTTCGTACTTTCATATCTGAGACGTTAGAGTTTTTTAAGTTGTTTAGTTCGAGTAAAATGTTTCATCAAACTTGTGTTCAGGTGTAGTTAAGTTTCAGAGTTTCTGCTTTATTAAATGAAGGTCACAGAAATCTGATGCATGCAGACATTTCTGTGTCATGACATGTTTTCAGCCTCTTCTCTCAGCAGCCTGGAGGAC